TATTGAGCTATGAGTGAGCCGAATCAAAAGTCTGGTTTCCGAATACGAGCGGAGTGACAAAAAATTCCCCGACTGAAACTCGTACGCGATTCTTCGTATCTTGTTTACAATCAGCCTCATTATTTAAAATATTCTAATATAAGATAAGTTCTTTTAGCAAAATTAGTGATGAAATCTTTCGCAATTAAATAACTCAACAGGTCCATTTTTGGAAACATTCCGTCACTACACAATAGGAACTTTCTTAATAAATTGGATTCTACGCACCAAAATTAATGAGAAAAAGTGTTTTCCCGAGAAATTTTGGTGTAGTTTATTTTTGGTAAAAAAGGAAGGTTGTACACTGCCTTTTTTTGGCCCGAAAAAAAAATTGTCTCAGAGCGACCCGGAAAAAAATTTTTCTTATAGAATGTGGCCCGTAGAATCCATAATTTCAAACAGTTCCAAGATTGGGCTACTAGTTCAAAAGTTACAGCCCTTTGAATGTTCTTTCGTCGCTTAAGCTATCGGTTACGTATACATAAATAGAGTGATTAAAAACACGATGCATTAATGCAAATAAATGCGGTGAGAAATTAGCATTAATTTATATCCCGCGAACGTAGGTAGATACCATTCACCTGTGGTTTTGCAAGAAAACTTCCACTGACGCCGTACCTGTAGAAATTTTCCATGTAACTTTCCTCTGCTATTTTCCCAATTTCGTAAGTGCACTTTCTGGAAAAGCCCACGCTTCGCGCTTGATGATCATCAATCACTTCTGCCCTTCTTTTCGTTGAACAAATTCGAACACAATAGCGAAGGCGTCTACTTTAGAAGTAAGTAAGCAATTCCTTTCTTGTACAAAATTAAATTCCTTGTAAACAAAGGCGAAAACCGTATCGAATTCGCTTTTTTTACTTGCCGTTTTCTCTCCGTCTCTCTCTCTGTTCATCACCCAAATGAATTTTTTCATGGTCTTTTGTATAATTTTATAATGAAGAAAAAATACGTAGTCATGCTAACGTTATTAGTCCGTTAATAAATTATACAACTACCTGTTGTATGGTTTGCTTGTCTCGTTAAAAAATCTTTTGCGGCTCGAAAAGAAGATGCGTTTCATTTACGAGAACATCCATCAAAAACGAAGATTAACTAAACTCGTCGCGCTCGCGAAATATTAATAATAATTATTTAAATGACAAAAACATTAAAAATCTCCCAAATTATGGGGGGCAATTTAATTTCTCTCACGTGCAGAACACGAACAATTATTTTTATAATATAAGTTTAAACGCGTAATTAGAAGAACACAAAGGAAGAGACATTAGGGATCGTAGGTAATTAAAATAAAATTTAAATTTAATTTTTAAGCTCGGCATTACATTATTATTACTGTTATTTGTCTAATTTTCCCGTGCAGAGTTTGCGTAGGAAATTACGCTTACAATAAAGCTCTAATGATTCCTAATAGGAAACTCATTACGTGTCGCAATACACCATGGCCATTTATTTGTTATTAGGTTAGTAGATCTGATCTGTTTAGTTGAGATGCTATCTGATGGATTATAAAAAAAAAGGAGCTGACACGAGAAATGCTCGTTTTACTGCTAAATTATTCGTAAAGGTAGACCATAAAGCACTCGCTCTTTTCTCCTTTAATTTCTGGTAGATGCCCAATTTAAAAGGCAACAAAGAACGGCGGTAATGTAAAAGATGATTAAGCAACTGTAATCATGTAAACCTATAGATAAATCGGTTGTTTTGTTGAGTTATTGTTGTACTATCAACAATTTAAATCGTAACATTACGTTAAGCATCAACGGGACTGGTTTTATCTCCATGCCGATTACTATATCATTAGGGACGTAATATGATTATTAGAACATACCATTACGTTGTTAAAGGATTTATGTTGGTTATAGAGGTACCTTAATTTGGAGATCCAATTTAATGTTTCAAATTTTTATGGCCGCACCTTTCACACTCTAATTTCTCTTTTTCTATACCAAACTTTATTACTACTACTAACATGTTTCTCATTTATACGCTAAATTCAGCAGTTTCTGATTCGTAGGATTACACCAGCGCGTACCAAACAAGACACGAAGAATCGCATACGATTTTTAGTAGCCACTCAGTTCGTATTCGGAAACCAGACTTTTGATCCGGCTCATATTCAATTGTACTGATCCTTGAACTCGTATAGAAATCGATTGGGGAAGGTCTCACTTCGCTGTCAATTTTGCATTTTCAAGAATCAGTTTGTTGTCAATATTTTCATTCCAATATTACATTTATTTTGATGCAGGATTAATGTATTGATGTAATTATAATAATTTTTTTTGAAAAAAATTTCTTGTGTTAGGGTACTAACATGTTAATCATCGAAAAGATGAAAAAAATCTCTATTACATGAGCCTAATGAAAAGGTCCACTGCTATTTTAAAAAATTCAATTGTTTTTCGTTACTCATTTGTTTTCTTTGTAGGTTCAAAGTTACAAAACTTAATATTAAAAATCTCACTTTTTTTTAATGAAACACTGTGTATATTTTTCTGTCATCTTTTAGCTTCTCCAAAAACCTTCAACTGTTGGTAATAATGTGTAAATTAAGTCGCTTGATGTTATTCTTTTGTTTTTATTATGATAATGTTTAAACGTCAAATTTTCGCTGCTTGAACTTATACTTCTCGTCAATAATGGCTTGTTTGGGTTACACTAATGAAGATTTTTTGAATTTAATATTAATACACGGTGAATGTAATCGAATAGCTGCCAGGAAAAGCAGCGAAAATTTGACGTTTAAACATTATCATAATAAAAACAAAAGAATAACATCAAGCGATTTAATTTTTTTATCAACTTTCCACAAGAAGTAACTAAAACATGGAATATCTCGGAAACCGTTTGAAGCAGCTTTTGAAATTTTGCATCAAATTAAAGGTCTGGGAAAAAGGAAAACAAGGGTGAAGAACAAAATGCGGGGTGCCATTTGAAAAAATGGAGTTACGGATGTTTAAAAGTTTAAAAGTTGAGAGCTTTGAAAAAGTGACGTAGTCTCACTTTTTTAGACGGTTACGCATACCATAAGAAAATTTGATCTTTCCTTAATAAAGCATTGAAAACTGTTTTGCAATATCTCTCACAGTTTTCGAATAATAAATTTTTAAAGTTACCCCTGTAAATTCAATTTTTGACACAAAAATTTGAATATCGGCGAAGCCCTTGGAGCAAAGGATCAACTATGGGGTATCGTTGTAATCCAAATTCGACGTAGAATCCGAAAATGTAGAAAAAATAGGGGGTCCCTATTTAAAATAACAAAGTTGATGGCTACTTCCGGTATTTCCGGAAGTGGCGCCATTTTGAAAATATTTTAGTTCAATTCATCATGTGCCAAAACCTTTAAAGGACTTATCAGTTCAGCTCAATTTTCAAAGGTTTTCCATATCTTTCTAACTGACGCTCGTCAAGAATGACCCTGTATACCACATGTAACAAGCCTATTGAAAATGAGTCAAATTCAATGACCCAGTAGGATCAAACAGAGGATCCGATTTAGGGGTTTATTTCTTATACAGGGTGCCCATTATGTATGGAATATAGTGTGTAGCTCGGTACATAAAGACTCTATTAAAATTTTTTCTATATAAAAGTTATTCAACATTTCATTTCCCATAATAAGGCAACATTCAGTTGTTTTATTTCAGAAAACAAATGAGTAACGAAAAACAATTGAATTTTTTTAAATAGCAGTGCACCTTTTCATCCGGCCCATTTGATAGAGATTTTTTTTATCTTTTTGATGATTAACATGTTAATACCCTAATACAAGAATTTTTTTTTAAAAAAGGTAGGTATAACAATTACATAAATACATTAATCCTGCATCAAAATAAAACAAATGAACGTGTACGTTTATTACATATTAAACCTTGAAGACAAAATGAAATGAGCAATAAAATGGTTTTCATCGCAATAATAATAACAATATTTTAATTATTAACTGCAAAGTACTGAACTAACCTTTCCTTTTCTTGTATAAGGATACTAACATGTTACACCATCAGGATGCATTCCTATTTTAAAAAATTCAATTGTTTTTTGTTATTCATTTGTTTTCTGAAATCAAAACAATTTAATGCTGCCTTACTATGGGAACTAAAATGTTAAACAACTTGTATACAGTCGATATTTACCTAATAGTCTTAATATTTATTCAGAGCCCCAGTGCCATGTAATTGGAATTTTTATTCTGTATGGTTTCTGGTTAAATAAATAAATAAAAATAAAATAATATAATAATGCGCTGCGCGTGACATTTGAAATAAGAATGACAGATCTCATTAGAATGCATAATTATCCGTTTCACTTTATCTACCCTAGCGGTTAAAGAGGGACTTAGCCTACTCATTCAAATCTAATAAAATATCATAAAATAAATAACTCTGATTCAATCGGATCGCTTCTGAATAATAAGCGTACCATGCTCGTAATACCATCAAAGGAGATGTGCGATAATTTTAGATTGGAATTACCAAAACAATTGTACCGTATCGACAGTATCCGCGACTTGCCCTTAGCCTACTGATCACGGTCGAGTATGGTACAACCGTCACTTGATGCGACACCGTTGCCTTTTCTGCTCGAATGAAAGACTCGTAACCAATAAACATTTCCAATGTTAAAAATCGGCAACGTCAAAACCTCAAATGCAAACATAAGGAAATATTTACCTGTTAAGCCTTCAGACCCATTATTCCATATTTTTGGGACACTCTGTATAATATTTTCCACATAAGTAATCTGAGCCGTCTGACTATCAACACCGAAATGTATGCTTAATGATAACCTTCAGAGAACTTCCTAATAATAAAAACATTTAGTTTGTTATTATTATCATCAATAACATATTAACGTTACTGTCATTTGAAACAATAAAAAAAGCCACAACGAACGGAATTTTTAAAACAGTAGAGGGGATATGGGAAAATCAAGTTTCTATAGCTATTATGCCACAAAATTAGTATGCTTAAGTCATGCGACTATAATTTCGGGGACGATTTTGGATTGTGAGTGAGGCTCTAGGAGTACGACCAAATTCAGAATTAACCTGTTTGAGAATTAATTGATTTTATGCGGTATGATGAGTAATGGAATTTCGAGGGATCGTGTTTATTTCGTAAGTTTTATAAATACCGCGCAAACAAACGACTGGCATCAATTGCTTATCGTCGAACGTGAGCGTCACAATGGTAAGATATGTTCTGTATGATACTGTGAAAACGTATCGTTTTTAGAATTACTACGCCCTTCTGCCGCTTCTAACGTTGGCCTTCGCCCAAAGACCTGGCTTTTTGGCCGGAAGCCCCGGCTCCCCAGAATTGGCATATCGGTTTCGGACCGGCGAAAGTAGTACGGAAACACCGGTACCGGCCTTTGGCAATCGGTTGGGTGGAGAAACAGGCACGACACGAAGAATACCCGTGGATGCACGCGGAGATGCGGACCTGGTAAACCGCGTCAATTCTTGGCCGCGAGAAAACAAACCGTTTTGGTTGCTAAACTATGAGATAATCGAGGCTAGGCGGAATGAAGGCCAAGGAAATTTCGGCAATCAACAAGTGGAAGTGCAACAGAGATTTGGGTCCCCAGACAGCAATCGCAATGACGTGCGCGATCAGCGGGGATTCAATCCCGCTTATGACTATGACGACTTTGGTAATCGTATGAACTAATCCACTGTCGAAATTTGGACTTGAGGTTACTGCGTTACGTTAATGTGTAGAGATCGCTTTCCAAAATAAATGAATACCTTTAATGTTATGCAGTTTATCATTTGTAGACCAACTCTGATAAGTACCTACATGAACGTATTTGTATCACAAACGCACGATATTGTCGAATCATAATTTTGTTGTATTAACAACAGCCACTATCAAAGGTTACGACCTTCAAACTACGTTGGAAACTTGTTTACGTAGCTTTGTGGCTAATTTAAATACTGGCATAGGATTATTCTACGAAAGACGAAGGAATTTCCTCACTATACAAGTTTGCTCGCTTTTCTGACAAATTGAGATCGTGCCCCACATAAATACGAAGCAAACTTGATTAAACACCATTTCTGTGTCGTCGCTCGAGAAAGCAACTATGGTAAGATTTGCAATAACCGTACAATGTAGATAATCAATTTCCAATTTTAGAGGTATTGCGTTTTTCTGGCCCTGACGGTGACGGTGGCGTTGGGCCAAAAGCCCAACTATCTGGCCGGAAATGTCGGACAGCCCGATTTGGCGTATCGTTTTAGGACAAACGAAACCACGACAGTCCAAACTCTGGGTTTTCGGTTGGGAGACGAAGAAGGTGGCACCACGCGGAAAATACCGGTGGATGCTCGCGGTGATCCCACTCTGGTCGATCGTCTGAACACCTGGCCGGACAAGAATAAGCCGTTTTGGTTACTAAATTACGAAAAGATTGAAGCCACGCGCAATCAACAACCTCAACAGGGCACCAACCAAATGACAAACAATCAACCAGTGAATACGCAAGACAGATTTGGTTCCGCCAGTAATAGTGTTCGTCCCAGTAACCAAACTCCCGACCAACGAGGATTCAATCCATCTTATGATTATGATGACTTTGGTAATCGAAAAAATTGAATCTAAGTATTAATTATTTATAAAAAAGTGTATGTATGCAATTATATTAATTAAATTAAAATTAAAACAACTCTCATTTCATTTGCTGCGCTCTTCACAGGGATAACCTCCGAAAATAATCCGTCGTTAAGGTTACTGCGATTATCAGTTACTTTAATTGGTACGTGGGCCATTAGTTCAAAGACAAATGTAATCACAATACACTTTTCCAACGACGCTTGGTCCGAAGATTGAGTCATTGAAAAGCAAGGTTATCAACTTTAAAAACAAAAGCAAAGCATTAACTTGTATTGTAATTTGCGGTTATATTTGATATGCGCTATGGTTAAACACTAATGAGCAAAAAATACCATTTCCAGGAAACGATCGTAAGATGGGATAGGTCAGGTAGGAGATACTATTTATAGGTGGTTTAATTATTAAGATTTCAATATGAACTAATTTTAGATGTTAGATTGTGAACAAAACTTCAAAGTAAAATAAGTAAACAAAAACCACTACTACGTGGGTATTGCAATCCACTCACATAGGCAGACGGACAGATTACCCTTGAAGTCGATACGTTTAGCGTGGATAGAGTGGCAGATAGTGAGGACATAGTCCGAGATCTGGTAGACATTTTTGGGTAGGTTTTTGAGGCACGCTGAAAACTTGCCCAATACTTCTCTAATAATACCCAAATACATAATTGCAAACCTGGCTGAGGTGTAGCGGGACTAAATCAATCCTTACATGTTTAAAGATAGGAATTTTTTGCATTTTGAGGCATTTCGAAATTTACACCTTTAAATTTAATATTTAAAGAGCGAAAAGATCGTTTAGTGGGACCCTACACTTTGCCAGGTGCCTTGAAACTGAAAATGTATACTGGCCGCCTTTGATTATTCAAAGCTGGCCGCCATAAATTCATGAACACCCATCTACTTTGATCACTTTTGATGAAAGTTTCAGGATAACTGTCTTATTTCGAAATAAATGTGTAAACAAATATAGCAAACGAGCTCCTGGGTACGGGTATAGCTTGACATTGCGTACTATATGGCTAAAGATATATACCTTGAATTTCACGCAACTCAGTTCACAAGTAACGAAGATGTCAAAAGGGCCCTACTTATTTTTTGGGCCACTTTACCAATTCACGAACTCCGAACTACAACTTTGATAAAGAATCCACCTGCAATTTCATCGTAATCGATCCATTCGTTTTCAAGATATATTACTGGACAGACGGACAGACATCGCAAAATTAACCAGGAGCTCGTTAATTAGGGCAATTGTCCTGAAAATTTCATCAAAATTGATCAAAGTACGCTGGGTGTTCACGTATTTATGGCGGCTAGTATACATTTTTCAGACTTTGGAGGAGCCTGGCAAAGGGTAGGGCCCATGGTAGGGACCCACTAAATGTGCAGATTACCGCTGATACCAGCCTTCGACCAGCAAATAGGTTGTCTACCTATACCTATAAAGGGTAGAGCATGCATTAATGCTTAATTAGATTTTTTTAGGGTTGTGGGAGATAGTAAGCAGAGTATGAAATCAAGTTATCGACCTGAAAAACGTGGTGCGCAACTGTTAATGCGCGAAAACCTTCAAATGTTTCGCAGTTTTCCACCTACAACTTGACAACGACGCCCCCTACTGGAATTTTACTCGTGTCCGAAATTAAAAGTAATAAAAATTTCCTACAAAAAGCACTGGTCAGACCAATTTTATACCTACGTTTGAAATACGATTTTTATTCATATACAGGGTGTTTTTTTGGGAGCTTTAGTTAAACGTTTCTGGGAAATAGGTAGGTTTTTGAAAATTTGAACTTAGGAGTTACTCTGAAGGCCGAATCGATGTAAAATATTTTCAAAATGGCCGCACTTCCGGAAACACCGGACGTAGATAGTAACTTCGTTATTTTAAATGCCAACCCGCAATTTTTTATTGCATTTTTGGATTCTACGTGAAATTTCAATTCTTTTGATACCCATATGTCTATATCTGCGATTTATGGTTTTTAAGTTATTTTGACTTTAAGAAAAAAAATTGCGGATGCAGATGGTACCTTGATAATTGATTAGTTAAAAAGGGTGGTAGTCATGGCAACCCATTTTTATCAGTGCATGAAGAATGAATAGGGCTTTCTTTTAGTGTACTTAAAAAAAAGTTAAGTTGCGTACAACCGCACCTATGGAGATCCAAATTTAATATCATTGATTGTAGTCTAAATAATTCATTAATAAATAAGTTTTTTGTTAAGGATATAGGACGGAAAATTTTTGAAAAATCTAGACAGAGTCGTTCAACTGAATTTCTTAAACAACGTATAAGTCTGGAAATTAAGAGAGGTAATGCGATATCTGTTCTAGCAACAATTCCATACCAAAAATGTTTCAACGAAGTTTTTTATATTTTGCATTGAATTTATTTTGTTAATCTTGCATTTGCAATTCAATTCATTCTCTTAAATATTCTCTTGTAGAGCTTTGTATCACTTGTGCTTCAACGGTTTGTAGTGCATTTGGGGGTACAACATTTCCAAAATTGATACAATTTCGTTCCAGTGTTCGAATGAATGTACGGCAAGCACGTGTCGCGATTTTGTCCATTTCACCATAAATAACAATTACCTAAATTCCAAAATAGGTGAAACCACTCCGAGTCATTTTTCGATTTTTGAAAAACCTATGTTCACCTATAACAGTAGGTGACGGATTAGTGTCACTAGATTTGTTTAAAATTCGATTGTTTTAAAATCATGGCCGACTACTAAAAAGAAAATTCGAAAAAAATAGTGTCAATTCAATAAAATGGGAATAAGTCAGAAACTGTTAAAGATAGCTATAGGAACATGTAATATCAAAATATGCCAATTTCGATTCTCTATCTCATGCAATAGTAAGAACAGGGTCATTCCATTTAAAAAAAACTGAGTTTATAGACTTTAAAGTTTCTTAAATTTGGACCTCCATAGGTGCGGTTGTACGCAACTTAACACTAAAAGAAAACCCTATTCATTCTCTATGCACTGATAAAAATGGGTTGCCATGACTACAACCGTTTTCAAGTAATCAATTATCAAAGTACCGTCTGCATTCGCCATTTTTTTTCTTAAAATCAAAATAACTTAAAAACCATAAGTGGCAGATATCGACATATGGGTATCAAAGGAATTGAAATTTCACGTAGAATCCAAAAATGCAATAAAAAATAGGGGTTGCCATTTAAAATAACGAAGTTACGATCTACTTCCGGTGTTTCCGGAAGTGCGGCCATTTTGAAAATATTTTACATCGATTCGGCCTTCAGAGTAACTCCTACGTTCAAATTTTCAAAAACCTACCTATTTTACTTTCCCAGAAACGTGTAACTAAAGCTCCCAGAAAAACACCCTGTATATATATATAAACCATAGAGTTCACGTTCTACGTTGATAATACGTATATAAATAAATAACCGTTTTTTTAGCATTCCTTCTATAACAACACCCTAGATCACATTCACACCACTTTAATAAAAGCATAATATTCCTACAAGAATATAGCAATATTCGCTGGACATTTATGCTGACGTAATTATAATAAATTTTGTTGTATAAGGGTGTTAACATGTTACGTCATCGAAAAGAGAAAAAATCTCTATCAAATGAGCCTAAAGAGAGGGTACATTGCTATTTAAATAAATTCAATTGTTTTTCGTTACTCATTTGTTTTCTAAAATAAAAACAACTGAATGCTGTCTTATTATGGGAAATAAAATGGAAAACAACTTTTAGGTACATAGAAAAATGTTGCGTACAATCATTATTGATGGAGAACTATATTCCATATATATTGGGCACCCTGTATGTCTAAAAGACAAACGAAATTAAAAATTGTGTTTTCATTTGGGAACTTTTTGTAGAAAAAAAAACTAAAATCCAAAGTTTGAGTTTCGGAACAGTAAAAAATTGATATCTTGTTGCATAAACTATACCACATAATGCTCGAAATAAAGCGAAATGCATAAATAGTATAACAAAGCAGAATATCGATCGCTTTTCCAATAGGAAAAACGTCTAGTCTAGTCAGTCGAGTAAGTTTCCCTTAATTTATAATGGAATTTGAAGATAGGCACGATAAATGTTGTGTGTCACGATAGGTCTATCAACGTCATTTAAATCGCTTTAACAATGTAATAACTTTTTTAACGATTACTTATGTTTTTATTTGCGACCAATTTCGTTTTGTGTATAGACCAATAACACTGTCGATATCGCATGCGACCAACGCTCTAATAAAAAAAAAACCATTGTCACAAATTGCTTTATACGCCATAATTATGATCGAAAATCCAGCAAACAATACTTATATATTATATATTAGCGTAAATCCCCTCAAAATGTTGCGGTCCCAATGTTTCCTTCGGTAAAAACAAGAGAGGGATAAGGATAATAAATAAATAAATAAATAATTGGAGTGAACCTTTGATTGTGTAACTTTTCTCTCGTTTAAACAAATTTTTTGCCCTTTCTAGAATGCCCACAGTGGGCTCTCCTTATCTCGGACACAGTGTGTATAACTCTCGCCAGGAAAGATTGCCGGTCACATAACGCACTTGATCCCGATCTACAATCTCTGTTTTTCGTAAGGTGCTAGCGACTTCCGGGATCGTATCGTGTCAATGTCGAACGAAAAGACTTTTTGTTCAACATTAGCACGATCCTATTCCAGAACTCCCTCGCATCTTAATAAAAACAAAGATTGTAAATCGACACAAGGTGTGCTGTGACCGGCAATCTTTCCTGGCGAGAGTTATAGGTATATAAGGCCTGGCCAAATTAATAACAACATATTGTAAATTTCAGTGAAAAAACTAACATGGTAACGACACCCTAATCTAAAGTTTTGAAAGTTCTGAAGATAAAAAAGGCGATTTTAAGTTCCCAAGAAGATTCTTCGAAGATTCAGAAGATTCTGGGGAGAAAACTCCAAACTTCATTTGAATGTTGAATGGATATTCAGTCTCATAGTACAACTGCGTCTAAAATTGGAGCACATGCAGCAAAATCGTGGACGATATCAAAAATCTTCCACTACA